TACCTACTTTTGGTCAACCAAGATGGGAATATTTCAACTGTGGTCAACATTTAAAAAAAGTTGTACCATTCATATTATAAGGTAGTACCTGTTTATGAGTATTTAGGACCACATATGGAGTCCTTAGTACCACTTGTAGTGAACACATAGAAACACCGAATTTATTATGTCCTACTTAACCTCCTTGGCTTATAAAAAATTACATTGTACATCTTGACTTAATAAACTTAATTAATAGAATTTTAAATCTCATATAAACTAACGTGAGAGTGATTATGGGTCGTATAAACATCATTTGCGATCGTATTTCGGTGTTTTTATGTGTTCATTATAAGTGGTACTAGTGATCAGATATCTGGTACTATAATAACATAAAACATGTACTCTATTACTCTATGACTGGTACTGATTTTGAAAATGTTGACCTGAAGCAACCCTTTTTTTTGTTATTTCTACAAAACAGGTACTAATTTATCAATAACTGGTGCTGAATAGAAGAACAAGTGGTACTAATTCATCAATAACTGGTACCAATTGATCAAAAGACAATCTCCGACAAAATATCAAATACAACTGACAAAATACAAAATACACCTGGGCAACAACAAAATACACTTGGGCAACAAAAAAAAAGTTACACATGCCCAAAAAACAAAAAAAAATACACATGCCCAAAAAACAAAATACATGAGTGATCTAGATAGGTTCTTTGCACGTACGTCGATTGTGTCCACGACGACCACAACGCTTGCACCGCCTAACCGCAACATCAACTTGTGAAGGAATTCTTTTCTCCCTCCTACGTCCAAGCTGAGGTCGTACATCTGGAGCATGAATGACATCATCATGATATATGGAGAAAGAGGCCACATTATGATCGTAGTTGGGTATAGGATTAATAGTACCTTGATAAGCTTGCCTATACATCCCAACCCGATAATATGGATCACAAAAATCATAGATGGACATTGACTTACTCTCAACACAAGCACATGCATGGCGACATGGCATCTTAGATAGTTGTCATTCTCTACAAGAACAAGTGCGAGTTTGCAAATCCACGTCACAACTTTTGTCCGCATCAACAACCTCAAACCTCCATTCACTTGATTGCATGATTTTGAGACTCCGGGAAGCATTGTAGCGAGATGAAATTATTTTTTCGAGCTTCGGACACAACGGGCCATTAAACTGTGACCCTCCTTCACGTCGATCGTGCATCATGGTCATAATTTGCTTTCGTATGTGATCGACCATGGCTACGATAGGCATAAATCGTGCAGCCCTCACCCAAATATTCCAACATTCGGCTTGATTATTATTCATGATCCCCCAACGGTCTCCGGTAAATAGAGAATTTGCCCAACAACTTGGGTTAGAATCCTGAAGGAACTTTAGAGCAAGAGGCATACAAGCCAATATATTATTTATATGCATATCAAATTCTTGCCTCGTAGGAGCATACGCAGCTTTCTTAAAAATCGAGGACTAATGTTTCTTATTATTAAGTGGGTAGCTCTTCAAAACCTACAAAAAAAATAATAATAACAATACACCACAAGAATCAACAACATTTAAAAATAATAAAGGTACGAATCAAAAGAATATCAAAACCTGCTTTATTATGAATAATTAGTGATAAATTAAATATAAATATAAACAGACTAATTAAGTTTTTTACCTGATTCTTAAAGTTGTCGACTAAGTGTCGCAAACAATAAACATGATGGCTACCAGGAAAGACCATAGGGATGGCTTTAAGAAGCCCACTGTGTCGGTCCGTAAAAAACGTGAAGCTTCTAGGAACAGGTAAGCCCGAGGTAAGAAGAGTATTATTCAGCTTCACGCAAAACCACTCCTAATTTTCATCGGTCTCGACATCAACCACAACATATGCTAAAGTGAACAAATCATCATTGGCATCCTTACTCACAGCACTAAGCAAAATGCCTTTGAATTTAATTTTTATGTGAGTGCCATCCAAAAATATCAACGGTCGACAACCAGTTATAAAACCAACAAGACAAGCATGAAAGAAAATGAGCAATCGGCGGAACTTATTCTAGAGAGGGTCAAGCTCACAATCCGCAATGCTTCCCGGGTTTGTCTCACGCACTTTAGTACAATACCATCTTAATTTATCATAAGAGCCCTTGTCTGCTCCATGAATACCTTGCATGGCAATATCCTTCCCTAACCATGCCTTTCTATAAGGCAACTCCAAGCCATAATCTCTATGAAGATCTTTCAATATCGTGCATGGCCTATAGCTCGGTTCATCTCTCAATTTCTCCTTAATTGCATTCGAGACCCAATGAGAGTCTGCTTTCAGATGCCCCCTTGTCCGAAGATTGGACACTCCACAGGTATGGACTAAATTGTTCTTCCGGATGGCAAAGACCTGATCACCTTTGTATTTTGAGGCATATATCCTCCATTGACAACCCTCATCAGTATAACAAACAATGATCTTCTGTTGATCATTTTTTCGGTACTTGAAAGAACGCCTATTCGCAATTGCGTAGTTTTTAACAACCTTCCGAAATTCATCCGCGCCACCACTGAACATTTGCCCCTCTCCTTTGATGGAGAATCTCCAAGAATCGATCGATTTATCTTGTCCTACCAACTCCGATTCTCCTTCCCGTAACATTTCCCTGCGTTCATGATAAAATAATATAAATTTTTATAAATAATGGAACTTGTTAAGAAATTAATGAATTAGGATATACCAATAATAAATTCATTAATATTATGAAAGCAACATTACCCGCTCAAGTTCATCGGCATAGATTGAACTCCATCATCCCGTCTTTCATTTCTTCCAATGCCCGGGCTTTCATTTCTTTCAATAGCAACTATCTCCACAATATTTACTTTCCAACAAAAATATAACCGAATCATGTTTTTTACATCCTCATCATCGGACAAACTAATTCTCTTTTTTTCCTTTGGCGCAATATAGTTTAACATGACGGTTTCCAAACTAAGAATCGGCCACCTCTTAGCAATGAGAGTGTACACTTCGCCAAGAGTTGATTCGAGGTTCAGAGAGAACACATACATTTCATCTTTGTATGTACAACTCCCTAATATATCACTTTGTGCCCCTTCCATGTATCTAACAATAATTGGATTAAAAAAAAACAAGTTCACATTTCCCAGCACATATGGTACCAACAATGAGCAAAGTGGTACTGTATATCCAAAAAGAGGTACACACAATCATGATATAGTTGTACTATGATTATTCTCATCTTATTTTTCTGTTTTATGGTCAATAACACCTAACATAACCTAACAATAGCATAAATTTAGTATACATGAACAAAAAAAAGGATTATGATCACTTTATTTGTTTTAGGGTAAATATAAACAACAATATTCAAAATTCAATCCTTCACAAATCAAACAAAAATATATGAACTAAAGATGACTTTTGGACTCCAAACTTCTCATATAATACATACATTACTTACTACTTCAAGTTTTCACTGGAAAAAATCACAATCTTGCCGGAAAAATAAGAATTATCGGACAGAGAGAGAGGAATTTTTGTACCCCTTCCATGTATCTAACAATAATTGGATTAAGAAAAAAAAAAAAATTGTTCACGTTCCCCAGCACAGATGGTACCAACAGTTAGCAAAGTGGTACTATATATCCAAACAGAGGTACACACCATCATGAATAGTGGTACTATGATTATTCTCATCTTATTTTTTTGTTTTATGGTCAATAACACCTAATAACCTAACAATAGCATAAATTTAGTATACATGAACACAAAAAATAAATTATGATCACTTTATTTGTTTTAGGGTAAATATAAAACAATATTCAAAATTCAATCCTTCACAAATCAAACAAAAATATATGAATTAAAGATGATTTTTGGACTTCAGAGTTCTCATATAATACATACATTACTTATTACTTCAACTTTTCGCTGGAAAAAACCACAATGTTGCCCGAAAAAAATAGAATTTTCGGACAGAGAACCACAAATTTTGGCCGGAAAAAGCCCCAATGTCGTCGGAATTGTTGCCTCCGGTGTTCTTCTTGCCGAATTTGGTGTCGCCGGCGAGATGAAGCTGCAAAAAAAAAAAAAAAATTGAGGCCGGCGACGAGAAGATGCAGAGGAGGGAAACGGGTTAGGGGAGAAGTGAAGAAGAAGCCACCCAAAATTAGATTTTTAGATAAAGAAAAATAGTAAAATAATGTGTAAGTAGGGATGATGTCACAAATCAATTTCTTTGTCATTTATTTTAATATGAGGGATTTAAATGGAAGATGAATATGGGGGTAGAGAGTAAAATAGATAGATATTTTCACTAGGGACTGACTTGGAAGTTACAATTAAGATTAGGGATTTTTAAAGAAAGCTCCCATGTTTCTATGGCATCGATCGAATTTGTTTCGCATAATGTTCTTTATCATATCCTTCTACATTTCATGGTGTCTAATTTTTCATGCCCTTAAATAAGTTATATGTTACTTTATTTGTATACGAATATTACGAATCTGAGAAATTTGAATACTTCATGCCCTCTGGTAAATTTGAATACTTCATGCCTTCAAATATGTAATGTATTGACATGGCTATGTTGATAGCTTATTTGGTTACTTTTTCTTATCTTCGAATACGTTTGGTTTAGTAAGACAAACATTTTTACAAAACTTGAGCTTATCTCATAAGTTTTTGTAAGTAGCTTTTGCAGTAAGCTGTTTGAAATTTTTATTTCAGCTAGTTTATCAACTAATTTTACCAAAACACTTTTTATCATATAAACTAGCGTATCAACTATAAGTCATAATCTATAAACTATAAGCTCAAAAATATTAACTGCAGTTAGCTTATCAGCTAGTTTTACCAATAATAGCCTGTGAATCTCATGGAGAATCCAATGAATAGGAATTTCAACCAAGGAACCGGCATAACCCAAGAGAAATAAGTCGGTTTCAAATAGGATCTTGTCCAAATACTGTTTTTTTTTTTTTTTTTTTTTTTAAAAAAAATGTGTCAAATATGTCATTCTCCATTACCGGTCACAAATAGTAAGCTTCAAATATAGCAAATTACCAAATAACAGTAATCATATTAACACCTAGATAAATCGTCATCGACTGGTTCACATCAATTATCCACCTACAGCCAACATAAGCAATAGCAACAAGGTTGTGTCCCACGCTAAGCAAACTTTACCAAATTCTTTTGGGAAGTGGTATCATCCACGAAAAGCAGCAATAACAAGTCCAGAGATGTAGCAACACGATCAAATGAGCCTTTAACGAGAACTGCAAAAGGAAAAAAATGGCAGAGCACAATAGGTGTGCAATGGTTTACTAGGCAGCAGAATCCAAATATTTCAACAAAAACAATAAAGGTTTCTTCATGGTTTGATTTCTCTTTCAACTAAGATGAATATGAGAGGGTGTTTGGGAAAGCTTAGAAGATGTTTGAAATCTTTAAGATATATGACAGCTAGTAAAATAATCATAA